CTCTTTTCCGACAGAAAGAAAAAGAGCAGTCTATTTGTCTCAAGGATTCACTCTGTGTTTGAGACACTTCCCTGAAAAGAGAAATGCTCAATCACCCAGATCTTGCACATGGGGTGTGCGGTTTCATAAAAAATGAAAAGAGAAATTTTTAAAAAAGAAAAGTCGCGCCACAAGTTTTAATAAGATGATACATCCAAGGTTCCTGCCAAGTTCCGTTTAGGAAACCGACAGACTCCAGTTGTTCCAGTCCGATTACACGCCAAACTTCGTTTGGGACTCAGAATGACAGACTATCACCCCCACAAAAGTACAGTACCTTCACTCTCCCGTCAAAGCTAGACCGAGATACCGTCCATCTTTTTGACCGATACATCATGAACTGTTGATAAAACTAAGGACACGTGCCAGTATGAACTCACTGGTACAGAGACCATAGAAGACCACGCCGCTTTGGCATTTACTATCAAAGGAGACCACGCGAGGAGGCCATGTTTAGCATCGATCAAGATTTTGGCATCAGAACCGACCTTCCGAAATTCGACGGAAGTATGAACCCCGATGGCTTCATCGACTAGTTACAAGCAATGGAGCACATTTTTTATTACAAAAAGGTTCCCGAGGACAAAAGAGTTGAGCTTGTCACTATCAAACTAAAGAGAAACTCTACATTATGGCTTGCAACGACAACGGCAACGGCAACGGCAACGGCAACGCGGCGGGGACGACAAGATCACTAAGTGGGCCAAAATGAAGAAAGCAATGCAAAAGAAATACCTTCCACCCCACTATCACCAGGACATGTTCCTTTGGCTCCACAACCTACAATAGTATGACCAATCGGTCGAGGAATTCACGCCACAATTCAATCACCTACAGATGAAGTGCGACCTAGTCGAGCAAGAGAAGCACACAATCGCCCGCAATCTCGGAGATGTAAAACCTGCCATTAGCAACAATGTATAAATCCAGCCATACTGGACACTAAAATATGTATAAAGTCTCGTCTCAAAAGTAGAATGATAGCAAGCAAGCCAAATCTCAAAACTCCTTCCACTCGCAGTCAAAAAGTCCCCTAAAAAAACACCTACCAAAAAAATCACGATTGAAGCTAGCAAGTCACTCCCAAGAAACAAAAAAAACACCCCGATCAGCACGGAAGCCTAAAGAGGAATTTCCTCCAAAATTGTTCGTGCATGAAAAAGATTTCGGTACCACGGGTACGACCACATCGGTGTCAATTGCCCCACCATCGGCTTTGTCATTTTACTGAAGAAGGCGTCAACGTAGAAGTCGATAGAGATTTGTCCTGGCTATGACACAGCATCTTTAACACCACATGCACCGTTAAGGCCAAAATCTGTAGTCTAATCATTGATGACGGGAGCTGCGGAAAAGTAGTATCCAACCTAATGGTCAATAAGCTAGTTTTAGCCACACAAAACACCCACGATCCTACTCTCTCATCGGGCACAAAAATGGGAACGAGATTCGCATCGATCAACAATGCTTAGTTGAATTCTCCATTAACAATCAACTACAAGAGCAAGTTTGGTGTGATGTACGCATGTCACATTCTTCTGGGAGAACCATGGCAATTCAACCAAAAAATGCATCACGACAGCTTCAAAAATACCTACATATTCAAGACAAATGGAAATTCATTATGTTATTGCCTGTAAAAGATGTGCGACCCACGATCGATACCAAAGGCGCATTAATCTCGCAGGCCACCTTCCATCAATCTGCCTACAATGCGCCGCTCTGGTCCTCCGAGAAGGTATTGGCACGAATAATGAGATACCCACACAACTCCAACCACTCCTACACCATTTCGAAGACATCATAACCAACGATCTCTCATATGGAAAATTCATTATGTTATTGCCTGTAAAAGATGTGCGACCCACGACCGACACCAAAGACGCATTAATCTCACAGGCTACCTTCCATCAATCTGCCTACAATGCGCCGCTTTGGTCCACCGAGAAGGTACTGGCACGAATAATGAGATACCCACACAACTCCAACCACTCCTACACCATTTCGAAGACATCATAACCAACAATCTCTCAGATGAATTACCCCCACAACGGGACATCCAGCATGTAATTGACCTCATATCAGGGTTGATTCTACCAAATAGACCCACCTACCGATTACGACTTGTAGATTACGTGCAAGATCTTGTTAAGAGAGGATTAGTACGCGAAAGCACCAATCAAAGTGTTATCCCTGTCCTCATCGTACCCAACCGTGCCATCAATAATATTACAATCAAATATCGCTTTCTCATACCACGCCTCGACGATCTCTTGGATCAATTGTACAGCGCCACCATCTTCTCCAAAATTAACCTACGGAGTTTAAAATACGACCGAGAGGCGAATGTTAACCTACGGCTATTATCGCATCAAAATTAACCTACGGCTATTATCAGATCAAAATGCGACCGAGAGACAAATGGAATACCGCCTTCAAGCACGAGACGGCCTTTATGAATAGACAATCATACCTTTCAGCATGCCCAATGCGCCCAACACCTTCAAGCGCATAAAGAATCAAGCCTTTCGAGCTCATATTGGAAGATTCGTGGTGGTCTACTTCAATGATATTTTTATTTACAGTAAATCCGAAAAAAGACCACCTGCAGCACCTAAGGGCGGTATTCAAGATCTTACGATCCAACTAATTTTATGCCAATTCCAAGAAGTGTCACTTCCTCACAAACCAAATCGGTTTTTTGGGCTACATTGTGTCAAGCATGGGAATACAAATGGACCCAACAAAAATCAAAGCAATCGTAAGCTGAATCTTCTACCGAGCTTCGACAATTTTGGGGCTAGCCTCTTTCTATCGAAGATTTGTTCGCAACTTTAGCACTATCACCGCCCCTCTCCCTGAGCTATTAAAACGAAAAGAATTCACATTATTGGTCACAGCGCAAACCAGCTTCCACATATTGAAGGAAAAGGACACTCGAACCCCAGTTCTTGCCTTACCTGATTTAAACCAACCAATCAAGTTGAGTGTGACACTTTCGGCGTAGGTATCGGCATTGTACTAAGTCAAGGTGGTCACCCCATAGCCTATTTTAGTGAAAAACTAAATAAGGCTCGAAGAAAATATGCCACCTACGACAAACAATTCTATGTCATTGTTAGAGCTCTAGAACACCAGAATCATTACCTACGCATCACGGAGTTCACCCTCTTCACGAATCAAGAAGCTTTAAAATTTCTAAAAAATCAGAATAAGCTCAAAGGGCACCACACAACCCTGGTAAAATTTTTAGCGTACTTCCAATTCATATTCAAGCACAAAGCCAGAAACTAGAATCGCATCACAGACGAACTAAGCCATTGTCTCCTTCTGATCACATCCTTATAGACAAGCGTCGTAGTTTTTGAAGTTATAAAAGACATGATATCGATGAAGACTTCCAGGACATCTGGGAACAGTGTCAAGAGAAGCTAAATGAGCAGTTTTACAAAACGAACGGCTAATTGTTCCGCCACCACCAATTATGTATTCCCCGATGCTCACTACATGAAGCTATCATCCAAAAGAATGACAATAGCGGACTGGCTAGCCACTTTGGCAGGGATAAAACTAACACACACTATAATGAGAACATTTCTTTTAGCGCATCTAACACGAGATGTGGAGCGACATAGCTGACGATGCAAAATGTCATATTGCCAAATTAAGGGGCCAAAATACAGGATTATACACACCTTTACGAGCTTTTGAAGCACCTTGGGTTGATGTCAGCATGGACTTTGCCCTAGTACTACCACGCAAACAAAAAAATAAGGACTCTGTCATGGTCGTAGTTGACTGTTTCTCAAAATAAGCACATCTTGTGGCCTACCATCGGATGTTAGATGCATCTCATATTGTTGATTTGTAGTTCCGCAAGATTGTTAGACTTCATGACATACCCAAAACCACTAGGAAGTTAAATTATTAAGCCACTTCCGGCAGCTCCTCTGAAGCAAATTAAGAACTAAACTCCAATTTAGTTCGGCAGCACATCTCCAGACAGATGGACAGACCGAAGTCTTTAATAGAAGCCTTGAAAATTTTCTTTGATGCTTCATTGGGAAAAACATCAAACAATGGGATCTCATTCTTACCCAAGTTGAATTTGCTTATTAAAGAACAACAAGCCAGCCTACAGGGCGCACGCCGTTTAAATTGTGTATGGCCGCAATCCGATCACACCACTTGAGTTGGTTCCATTTCTACTCCCAACAGATATCAGCGAGGATACTATAGAGCAGATTCACCAGATTCAACAGCTCCACCAGGAAGTTTAGACTGCAATTATAAAACAGAACCATAAATACCAAACGCAAGACTGCAAGACCCTCTTCAACTTTCTAAGTTAATGGTAGTGTAATTCCTCTATCATAAACTAAATCATTGCTCATAAAGTCCAAGTATGTATAGCCTACCAAAAAGCCTAAATCAAAAGTTCTCTCTTGTCAACAAAAAGGGGAAACCATCTTTAACGGCTGGCACCAATGGAAAAATCTCGAACCAAATCATAAAGTTCTTGCAAGAAGCTGATGAAATCTGTAACTGGCATCTTATCTGATATCCAATTTGACTTCTAAGAAATTCACCAGGAAACAGACTCATATATTTCAAAAAGTTGGAATAAAAGAATTTATAACACATAAGAATGCAAAGTTAAAAGAAACTAAATAAAGCTTTAGTGAGAAGAGATAAGCCATCACCATTGAATTGTTGCACGGAAAAAATAATTATTCAGAATTAACATTTTTCTCAATGGTCATAAGACAGTTCTTTTCAAATTTATTAGCTAACATAGAGGTTGGCAGATCAAGTTACATCTACTTTCATTCCATATTGAGCCTTCCTTATGACAAAGCATTCAGCTTAACCATAACTTCTACATAAGGAATATAGCATACATATATTTGGGGAAAGACAATCCGACAGAGAAGGTCTAAGCTGTGAAATGATACAATTACCTGAGTTTAATAGAAACATGATGCCCGGCTATAGCAATGATTTGAAGAAGCTTTTCATTTGATAAGACAGAAGAATCTAAAACTAACTTTAGTAGCAAATCCTCAGATCCCTTCAGCAGTGATGGAAACATCTTAACTATAAACTAGGCAATGAAAAGGAATAAAAATGTTGTCGACTAAAGCTGCTATTTTCCTCATAAACAATAAATGTTTGTAAGGAGAAAAAATATACAACAGGAGCCGAATAAAAAGCAAATAAATAACAAAACTCTTAGCACTGTTCAGAGTACATGACGAATAAGGAGAGATGATACAAATGATTACAATCAACATAGTTAATAAATCTGATGGTATATTACCTCCAGCATGAATGATAAGTTAAGAACAACAAAACCACTTACCACCTCATAACCAGACCTGGAGATTAGTACGTTAGATCAAATTGCAGTTACTTACTAGCAGATGCTTTTTCCAGTAATCGATCAGCTCACACAGCATAGCTATTGTATCAACACAAGTAAGAAAGCGGTGTAGAATATGGAACTAAACACACTGCAAACAAGGTTTTGACAGATAAGTACAAGCCATTTTCCCCTTAATATTTAAGAGAAATTGACTACCTTGGTTCATAATTGTATGCATTCACTCCTTAGCAGTTCGTCTTTTGGAAAAGAGGTGGTTTAGATGTTTGTCTTTGGGCGGTGATGTTTGTGGTTTTTGGGCTTCTGTTGTCGGTTGTAGCAGCTGAATATATTCCAAGCCTATTAATCGACTAAACTGAACCTTAATAAGTCATTGACCATTGTAGAAAAAGACAACATGACAATCCATCATTTTTTCTCCATAACAAACCAAAAGGTGCAAAAACTTTGAATCTTTCATTGTTTATATTAAAAAAAAAAAAGCAATTGTCGTTTCACGCAATTCTATCAAAAAAGATCATCACTAGTACTATTTCAAAACAATTGTCGTTTCACGTAATTCTATCAAAAAAGATCATCACTAGTACTATTTCTAGTCAAGAAAAAGTAGAAGATATCTATTCAAAGGCTATATGTTGACCTCATTTTTGTGAGGTCTTTCATTCTCCTTTCAAAGGCTATATGTTGACCTTATTTTTGTGAGGTCTTTCATTCTCCTCCCTAGAGCCTAGATCTAGCTCTAGGAGTTCCTATTGACTACCTTAGAAAACTAGAATTGAGACCCACCCGTTCAGAATATCTAACAATTTCTTATTTTCCTATGATGTCTAGCATTTATGGTCCAAAATCATCGTCTTATGTACGAGCAGTTAAAAGCTATTATGTGAAGACTCAAGGGAAAAGTTCCTAATAGGACTTCAAGCCCTAGGAAAATCTCCTCACGACTTTATCGTCACATATGCACATCAAATGCACAAAATTCATAAAATTGCACAAAGTCGAACTTCAATTGAGTCTAAATGATGGGTGAAAATGCGAACTTCTCCAGACGACCTCCGACGACAAAATGGACAACGCCAACGCGTCTGGGACACCAATTTTAGTAAGAAAAGACACTCATATTGACATATTTTTGCACGAGAAAATTGACACGCAAATCGATGAATTCGTGAAAATAACCTCCGACGGCAAAACAAACCGCGTCAGCACGTACGGAACGTCAGAATTACTCAAAAATGATACCAATTTTGTTATGTTTTGATGCATGGATAAAACACATTAAATTTTTTATTTTTTTCAAAATATTAAATATTTTATTTTATATAAATATCATTACATTATAATTATATTAAACCTAAATCCTATTTACACCTCTACCCACATGCTTAAACCCTCATTCGGCCATGCGTTCAGCTCGATCCCGCGGCAGCTCGATCAGCTCGATCGCGCGGCTCGTCTCCCTCTCTTCCGTGTGCCCTAGATCCACGGTGGATCAACGCGGCTCTCCTTGTCGTTCTTGCTCGCGGCTCATCTCCTTGAGCTTCCCTTTGGCTTTTCGGCTCTCCAATCGCAAGGAGATAAGCTGGCCGATTCTGTCGATTCTGTCCCTCTTGTTCTATTCGGCCATGGAACGGTAGTTGGTGGCTTCTTCTCTTCTCTGCCTATAAAACGATTTCCTAGTCTACTGTGTTGGGTTGTTGAAATTTTTGAGAGAGAAAGGTAGGGTTTTTGAGAGAAGAAGGCTTGGAATTTTCTTACTGTTAGGGAAAGTTACTTCTTTCTGATTTGCTGTCTGAGGGGAGTTCTTCTTCCTCTCTGTTAGCCGATATTCTTGTGGTTAAAGATTCGTGAGCTACAAGCCGTAGAGGTTAGGGAAGGATTACTGTGGGGAAAGTTTGCGTGAGGCTTAAGGGAAGGATTACTGTGGGGAAAGCTACTTCTTTCTGATTTGTTGTTCGAGGAGAGTTTTTCTTCCTCTCTGTTAGCCGATACTCTTGTGATTAAAGAACCGGGAGCTAGAAACCATGGGGGCTATTTGCATGAGGCTTTCGGAAAGGATTTTTGTGGGGCGTTTCTTTCAATTTATTTTAGTGCTTTGCTTTAAATCTGCATTAAAAAGGTATTCTCCTTTTATCCTCTATTTGGCACTATTTCAGATGGCATGAAAAATACTTCCTATCTCATGAGAAAGCAAGATTTGGCCATGTTTTGAGATTTAAGCATGAATAATCCATGGAAATATGGAAATGAAGCATATTATTGGCTATTTCCTTTTCTTTTCTGCTTAAGATGCATAGAAAGCATGTTTAGGATCATTCTTAATGCAAATCTTTTTCTTACATACGGGAATTTGCTTCCATGCTTTGGATAAAAGTTTAAAATCCTACTTATGCTCTTCTGCTTTCTATCGACCTGTCCCTGTTCAAAGCATATATATTGAATGTAAATCTTGGCTTTTAATGTTGTGTGGTGGCCCTGTTTTAGCCCATTTAGTGGGGTCGAATTTAGCTTCTTTTGCATCAAATGTTGGTTGGAAATACTTTCACTTGTTTTGCCTCTGTGTTGGGCTCGACTTAGTTTATATGTTGCTCGGTGTTGCCCATTTGCTGGGCTCGGTTTAGCCTCTATGATACTCGGTTTTGCCTCTATGCTGGGCTCGGCTTTAGCTTCTTCTAGGTTGAATTTAGTTGAAAATTTTACATTAATTTTTAACCCATTTGGTGGGCTCGGTTTGAGCTCTTTTCAAAATCAATTTTATGCTTGAAATATTCTCTGTTTTGGCTCATTTGATGGTCTCAATTTGGGCTCCATTTTGGTGATTTACGTTGGTTGAGCCCCTTTACTGTCTGGACCACTTGCTAGACTTGATTTGCCCCTTGTGTTGAGCTCGGTTTGCCCTTTTCTTGAGCTCGATTTTGGGTGCCTGTTCCCTGATGGAGCTCGGTTTGTTGGGGCTTGGCTTTTTTTCTGTGGCTCCTTTGCCCGAGACCATGTGTACCTATTCTGGGCCTTGGTTTTCTCCTCTTTGCTGGAATCAAATGTATTTATTATGGAATTTTATCTCGTTGTTTTGTTGGATTTGACTATACCTATGCTGGATTGATACCTTATCTTTACTACTTGGGGCTTGGATGTGCTTGTGCAGCACTTTATTTCATTCCTTTTATTGAGTTCATTGTGCCTAAGTAATTGATTTGGGTTGCCGCTTTTAATTGGATTCAATTTGTGTGGAAGATATCCAAACAACGCTTCCTTTTGAAATTTTTGTGGATAATCAAGTTTGTCATCCTAAAATTCATAAATTCCGATACGCACTACTATGTGGGAATGTTTAAGGTGAGCCGTATTCGATGTTTATGACATTTATGGTCCTCCTCTTGTTGCCCTTATTCATAGATTTATTTTTTGGTGGCTTTGGCCTGCTGTCTTTGCCGTGAAGATGGCATGGTGGTTTTGGTTTGCTGCCTTAACCGTGAGCTTCATGTTTACTGTCTCTATAATTCTCTTCTCTTTTGACTCCTCCCCATGAGCTGGATTTGGGGCTTTTGGCCATGATTTTTGCTGCCTTAGCCGTGAGCTAATTGGGAGTTTGGTTGTGGATCTTGTTGTTTTACCAATGAGCTTTCCTCCTCTTTTGGTTCCTACCCGTGAGCTAATTGGGAGTTTGGCTGTGGATCTTGTTATCTTACCCGTGGGCTTTATCTTACCCGTGGGCTCTCCTTGTTATCTTACCCGTGGGCTCTCCTCTTCTTGTTGCCTTACCCTCTCTTTTGGCTCATACCCGTCTCATACCCGCAAGCTGGATTTGGAGCTTGGCTGTGATTCCTGTTGTCTTACCTATGAGCTCTCCCCTCTCTTGTTGCCTTACCCGTTAACATTAACTTGTGACCTCTTAGTGGAATAAATTGGGCTAGTGGTTGTCTCTTTCTATTGCCTTGGTCATGGATATTTACAAGAATAATTTTATTTTAATGAGATATAAAAGAAAAGGAAAAAGAGCTTTTGATTAAAGATGAAGTTGAATGGGATTGGTATTGGCATACCTTTTGGAGATAAAAAAAAAAGAGAGAAAAGCTATTCTTTATGGATTAGTCTTTCTTGTTTTATGACATATGAAGATTTCTTGAAATTTTATTTTGATAAATTATGAATTTGATATAAATTGAATTCATAAAGGGGTTTGGAAATTCAAAAAATTGTCATTTGAAAATGATACCCTTTTAAATTTGATTTGAGGATCTTGTGCCCTATTTTTAGGTCTCTTTGATATGACTTTGAGGATTGCTCTACCTTTTTTTCCTTCAATTTTTTGGGTGGATCAGTTTCTTCTCTCTCATACCCATTTTTATTCTTTTCTTTCCTTGCTTCTTGATTCAGTTTTCTGTGCTTATATCTGATACATAAGTGCTCGTGTAAAGTTTTTTTGTTATATGTGAAACCATCAAACAAGGTCGCAAGTAGGTCGATTTTGTTGGGGCGTAAGGCGACGATTACAAAGGCACGTCGGTGGTAGAATAGAATTATATCTCATCCTACAATATCAGGACTCAAATATGAGACCTGATGAACTGTAGGATGAAAGTCTCATTCACCGACATAAGACTAGAGGGGGACCCGTACCTTCTTAGGCTGTTAGCAGTCCTAGACTCGATGACGTGATCGACTTGTGGACAACCATTTCTTTTTCAAAATTAATAAAACAAATTGATAAGAACAGATACAATATTTATAAAAATATTTTCATTATAAAAATCAAAATTAAAACAATTTTCCTTTTGTATGCTTGAAATACATATGCATGTTAAAACTTAAATTTGTTACAAATTAGGTTGTTCACTTATTGATTGTCGATCTTGGGCTAAGGAATGCCCTCCTAAGTTAGGTTCAGTAGGATATCCTTCTAGTGGAGTGTCGGGCTTTATACATCCGGGTGACCAAGTAGTCTTCGATGACCCTCGAGTACAAATATATATTTGAGTCTAACCCCAACCCCAGTGCTTGCGGTCCCCTTCTTTCGGATTTTTCATATTTTTTCTTGGAATTTTGGACAAAACACTTGTGCTATTTTCTTCAGGATTTTCCCGAGATTTTGATGATTTTATTTAAATTATTATTTGTAAATTTTCTGAATTTTTCGTTATGGATTTATTCGTCAATTTTCTCGAAGTTTCCAAACAACTTTTATTTGTACAGTGAATAATAGCTAGCTTAAAGGGGCAGAAAACTTCTAAAATTTACAGGTGTGATTTACTTTGCAGCACTTTTTTATTTATTTCCTAACATGTTATATTATTTTCTCAGCATGTTATACTGTCTTTTCTTAGTACGTTATACTCTTCTCTCAACATGCTATACTGTTCCTTTCTTTTTATTGTACATTATATTGTTCTTTTCTTTATACTACATGTTTAGTTATTTTGATACACACTGTCTTAGTTTAGGAAAACCTAGTGGTTGTATAGGATTAACACTAAACCAGGAGGTGCTACTACGAGGAGCTTGGAGCGAACACCGTGGACAGCACGACGAGGAGAACAACTTCAAGGTGGATCTAAAACATCAAAACATCAAAACACATCGCCTATCACTTCATTTAGTTATTTAAATAACCCATAGGATCACCCATCAGGCTTCTGCACAACTCTGTTATGCAATTATAAGTCCTAACACTTTAGGGCTCCGAGGTTACCGTGCGGTACGGTGTAAATCCTCTTATCTTTTTAGGCTCTTTGCACAGTCTGATATTGTGCAAACATAAATCCTAAATCATAAATAATTTGCAGAATTGAAATATCAAATAAGCATCATTTGAACATTATGATAGTTAGGACATCCCCGGGGTTTCTCCTGGATCTGTGATGTCCAACATTATGATAGTTAGGACATCCTCGGGGTTTCTCCTGGATCTGTGATGTCTTCTATTATTCATTCCTTTTGGATTCTATAAAACAATTGTTCCTAATTTGAACTACTCCCACTTGATTTTCTTATATCCAATCTTGGAAACCTAAATTTTGAAATTTGGAAAGTAAAACCACTGATCTTAATCGAGAGTTTTCTTAGGTGACCTCGGTCATCTAACATGTAATTAACTATAGGGACTTGCCTCTATAGAGAACTTGGAACCCAGATAAAATAAACCCTATCTAATTTTTAAGTTAGGTAGGAGAACTTATTGGCCTTTTTATAAGATATTTTACAGACCAAAACGGATGTCACAAATTATTTAGTTTAGGTGATTGAATTCCTATTACAAGTGATATATTTATTCTTTGGGATAAGTGCATTACTTGCAGTATTGTATTCAATCATCTAAACTATTTAAAATGTGAGACCCGTTTGGTCTCACCTATTTTGAAATTAAAATGTTACTTTTAAAAAATCAAAAATATTATATTCATATTTAAATTATTTTCAAAATCACAAAATCATTACTTTTTCAAATTACGAAGTTAAAACGGTCGACACTATACTAACACATCAATTCTACAGCACTAAATATATGAAAATAAAAAATCAATAATGAAAATATTCTTTTAATTATGTCATTATTATGTAATATATTGTCCTAATTAAGAATATACCAAGGATGAAAAGCAACTACCTCGAAAATGTGACCTAAAATATCTAAGAAAGTCAGAATTTTGAAATAAAAGTGAATTTAGAATATTTTGACCGCCACATGAATCCGGACGAAGTCATCGAGTGGCTCTGAACTTTGGAATGCCTTCGAGTGTCAAGACGTTCCACTGAACAAAATGATAAAACTAGCCACCAACAAACTAAAAAAGAGCACATTATTTTTGTGGCAAAAAATGAAGTGTCTACGCCAGCAAGAAGATAAAATTACTAACTGGTCCAAGATGAAACTGAACAACTCACTAGAGACCGGATGTTTAGACCCTAGCTACAAAAGTGGAGACACCACCACAACTCACAGGAAGAGTTCAACCTCAGAATCTCACAACCAAAGTACACCCAGAGGAACATTCAAGCTGACCCCACCTAAGGAGACTAGTTCAAAGTGGAGAACAGAGACACAGTAGACGCTGACGAAGATGAGAACAAAAAAAAGGAATACCAACTTTCAACCGATAAGAAAAACATGCACATAGTTCAAACAGTGCTTATGAGAGAGACTCCAACCAATTAATAATGATTGTCTAAAATATTCTTGAGGTCGAAGAACCAACACCAAAGGCATGGCAACCCCAGATAAGAGAAATTCAAACTTTTCAGATTCATAGACTTCTTCCTGAGTTACATGTACTAAAGGGAGTCCATCATGTCAGGAATGATGCTTTTTTGTGCCACGTAATATATGGAGTTATTCGGATATTAGATTCAATTCAACAGTATACCCTCATCAGATGTTCTAGACAAGAGAGATGAACTGCAACTTTGAAAATTATCATTGGAGATTTATGGGGAAGAAAATTCTCCAATGGAATCCAGACCCATCAGAAAAGAAAGAGAAGAAACTTCTTCTGAGTGGTTATACTTCAGTGTGGTCAAGTCTGCCATAGATTTCGAACAAAAGTTGATTCCTCCTTATATACTTATTTACCAAAAGCGCTCGGACGAGTATGAAGAGCAGAAGAAACCAATTACAGATTTAATGGATCAATGTTTGGTTCGTGAGGATACCCATCCACATACAGTTCCAATTATGATCATACCAAAATATGATGTAGACCTGTTCTATCAAGATGTGTTTTGAAATTTCAACGCCCATAGGATTAACTTACAGGGAGATTACAGCATTTATGCCACCTGCAACGTGGTCAACCTGACATCATACGATAAGAAGATGAGTTTCGACGGACGAGGTCGAAGCTTCTCCCAACCCTAAGAGATAGACATGGGAGCTTATCGAACAAAATTTTTGCAATACTATAGCTACTACAGTATGACGAGAATAGCAATTGCGGGAGAGGCATTGAAATAACCATGTTTTCCTTTCCTATTCTTTCTTTCTTATTATTCTTCACTCATTTTTAGTCGTTTTCTTTATGTGTTGTATTAGGGATTGTAAGTCAGTTTTCTATTGTATTTTACTTAGGAAAGTCATCGGCAATTTTTTTCTCCCTTCAAGGGTTGTATCTGAGGGTTTCGGTGGAGCTCTGGTTTTATCTATCTCGCAAAGTGGTGTTTATTTTCATTATTCCCTTCTGCATCCTCCCTACATTAGCATTTTGGTTGTTGTTTTCTATAGATCCAGCCATCGTCATTGCCTTTTCCTTCCTCACGCTTCTCTACCCTAGCAGTTCGAGGCCACCAACATCATTATCGCCTCTATCCAATCATCTGATATCGTTGCCACCACCCAAAAAACCCTTCGTCTTATTGTTTTCCTGCAACCTCCCCCTCCCTTCCAGCATTGTTGCCGCCCAAACCGCCCCTTGTCCTATTTTTTCAGCTTTTCTACTGCGTCGTTGCCATCCAGAACAGCCAGAGAACACCATTTTATTGTTGTTATGCCGATACCCACCCCAACTCCTCGTAGCCACTATCCAGGACAACAACTATAGTTGTTGTACCTATAGTTTCGTGCCTTCACCTCGCTGTCACCAGAATTTCTTTGTTGCCGCCACAATTCAAATCCATCGAGCCAACCTCCACCGCCCTTGGGATACACTTAAGTGGTATTTGCTTATGTCGTCTTTCAGGTGTGTTTGATTGTAACTGTCTATTTATTTTTGGTAATAATATTTATTTTCTCTATTATGATTTGGGTTAACTCCAGTATCACAGTCTATAAAAGTATCAACTTAGTCCCCATACACATAGTATTGATGCCCAAATAGTCCTTTGTAAGAAACATTTCAGTCCATATTAGAAGAGTCTGAGGACTAAAGTGATATTTTATAAACTCTAGATTTAAAACAACCCTTGCAAAGAGTCGGGGAACTATTGTTCACAAGCTTCCAGCAAGAATAAACAAAGAATAGGTTAGTTGTGCTCACAAGCTTAGTAGCAATCCCAAACCTAATGACAATGTAAAACTCATGTATCGAGAAGCGAAGTTTGATTTTTCTTTGCCCGTTCAACCAATTTATGAGAAAGTGAATTGTCCATTTTTTAGGGAAAAAAAACCCCCCATAACCCATAGCAAGGGAATGTGGCCCAAATTAACCAATATCTCATGAAGGAATTAATGTTTTACAGTGATAAATAACATAAAACCAAAGTGCAAGCAAATCAGTATTTATCCCACAACATAGTTTAAATTGAAAAGAAGAAAATAGCTGTTAACAGGTGCAGGGCCAAGAAAGCTCATTAAATGAAAAGATAAGAAACACTCACAAGTATTAGCTCAGCGGAGTACTCCGCAAATTTATCTCCGCTACATTGCCTGGACAATATATCCTCCAAGATACTTTGAACAAGCTCTGCATTAAATATTGTATATGAGCATCTCAAAGAAAGAATCCTGAAAAACTCATAATCCGGATGCTTTTTCCCAATCCTCTCAAGAAAATCAACCTGAAGAAAAAAAAAGAATCATCAATAAAAATCACATCTCATTACAGCACTAAAAATAACATTATGATTAAGCAAGGGAAACGTGATTCCCATAAATTCATTATGATTTAAAAAATAAATAGTGTGACTGGTAAGTGTAATTATGTTCAATTAATCCATCTAATTGGAAAATATTAACAATAATTAAAGGGAATTGAGATTACCCAGGTCATAAAAATCAACTTAACACACACACAAATCCCCTCCCCCAGCCAAGCACATCCCCCCGCCCCCACCAACCTAAAAAACGAATAGTTAAGGTTAACCAGAAAGCACTTACGTATAGGTGCTTGGTTAGAGGAGTGTTTGATTGTGGATTAAAGTTGTTTGTTGCGATGACTGGCCAAAAAGAGGCTTTCTATAAGAAATATTTTATTTAAGATTGATATTGCTTCATTAGGGTATCCAGAAACAAAGTATCATCTTAGTTGACAGCAATGCCAATACAAAAACAAGCATGTATCCCACAAAGTTGGATCCACTACATGAATCCTTTTTATTCATTGTGTCCTATTGAGTGCATATTCTCATTTAATTCTAATAAATTAAGATCATTCTTTAAACCACATGCCCAAATCTTTTAAAGTCTACCCTTACCTTTTTTAACACAAGTCCATTCTAAAACATCTACTCTCCTAATTGGGTCATCAAATGGTTGATATTTAATGTGACCAAACAATCTAAGTCAACAGTCTCTAAGCTTGTTTGCAGCTGGAGGTATTCCAACCCTTTCACAGGTATATTCGTTTCAAATTTTGTCTCTAAGTGTAAAACCACCATCCACCTGAGTGTTCTTATCTCAGCAACACTTAATTTTATGCTTCTCTTCTACATGCCAACATTCTACACCAAGATGCATTCCTCCACTTCAATCGTCTAACTTAAATTCTACTAATAACATTCCTATATATATTACCTTCACTTTGAACAAAAGACCCATGATATCTAAAATGTTCCCTCCTTTTAATGTTGAATCACCCACTCTTAGAACCCAGCCACTAAATATATTACTACTAAAATTATGTTCCATGTATTTAGCTTTTAATCTACTCAAATGAAAGCCTTTAGAATCTAAAGTTGATCTCCATAATTCATGTTTTCTCGAACTCCCTCTAATGCTATCCAAAAGAAGGATATCATCAACTAAAAGCATACATGAAGGTGCATCCTCCTGTAAATGTCCAGTAAGAAAAACCAAAACTAAAGCAAAAAGATATGAGTTTAAAGTTGATCTCTGATATGATTCAACTGAAATAGGAAAATACTTGGTCAATCCTCCATATGTTCGAACACAAATAGCAGCTCTACCATATATATCACTAATAACTTGAATATAAGCAATAACAACACCGTTCTTTTCTATAACTCACCAAAGTAATTCTCTAGAAGTCATATCATAAGTTTTTTTCTAAATCAATAAAAATCATATGTAGACCTCCTTACTCTCTTTATACTTCTCCATCAAACCTCTAAATAGATGTATAGCTTCCATAGTAGACTTTGCTCTGCATGAATCCAAACTGATTTTAAGAAATTTTTATATCACGTCATAACCTACATTCAATTATTCTCTCTCTGAACTTTAATGTATGACACATTAACTTAATTCTTTTATATATTGCACAATCTTGTGCATCCCCTCTATTCTTAAAAATTGGAAAAATTAACACATTTTTCACTCATCAGGCATTTTTATAATTTTTAAAATAATATTAACAAATCAATTAAGTCATAAAATCCTCAGATCTCATAAATATTTCCACACTTCTACTCGAACACCTCACACTGCTTCTTCACATTTCATTTTCTTTAAACCTCAAATTCTATTTTATTAATGTGATGGTAGCAATAAAAAAATTTATTATTAATTGTGATATTAAGATTACTAAAGTCGATCTTATTTTCACAGTCTTCATTGAAAAGATTTTCAAAATATCTCACTCATTTATGTTAAATATCATTATCTTCAAAAAATTTGTGTCGATTTTTGCTTTGGATCGTATTAAATTGATATCAGAGTTCGACTTTAAAATCAAACAAATTGAGCTTTCAATCTTCAACCAAGCTACAAAATCTGGAGACAACTAGATCACGGCGTAGTCCTGAATCATTGACATGATCACGGCATATAGGCTCGCAACAAAGACCCAAATCTCCCATCTTCCTCTTCCAACGTGCGTATGTGTGAAGAAGTGCAACCAAGCAAAGGAAGCAATGGCAGGATTGCAGCTTCCATAGAGCCTAAAATTTAATTTTCCTTTGTTTCCGAGGCATTCGAGCCTCACAACGAGATAACGACTACAGTGACGTGATTCGGGCTATCGAAGAAGAGAAGAAACGGGGTGTGGTAACAGAAAAGGATCAATGGATTGATTTCAATTCTATAGCCAATTTCAACTTATAGACGCAATTTCAACATACGAATCTACTATATTTTAGCATACTTAGTATTGACACTATTCATATCGTCGACGAGAATATGATCTAGCTATATAGACCTGCAAACCAATCAACAAGATTTCAGCGTGCAGGTGTTTTCGTCATTTGGGATCGAAAACTTTTCGAAGAGTGATGGCAGAAAAGCAAGTAGAAGATTTAGAGAAAACGTTGAAGGAGGAGAAAGTCGAATCAGGTTTGGAATTGAGGAAAGATTCTCAATCATGGAAGGAACATTTTCCTCCAAGGAAAATTGATTTAAGGGTCGATTCAAGAGCACGGAGAAGATGGTGAGGAAGCTTATTGAGATGCAATCCAAAAACATGTCTACAGTTTAGTTTGCAAACTCTAACCAAAAGTTGACCGGAGAGTCATTGGCTGAATCGAAAAGAGAGATCGGATGAGAGGAACAGAAGAGAAAAATTCCACAATCAAGAACCTTCTCTACGGGCTTCGATAGGCGGTGGATTAGAGATTTCTAATGGATGTGGTTGAGTCGAAAAATGAAGGGATTATGCAAGGAGTACGGAGAAGCATGAAAAAGAAAGGCAAGAAGTGGTGATGGTCTGGTTATCATAGAAGGAGGGAGTTTTACCCTCGATACCAAGAGGAAAATAGCGGATGGAGAGGAAGTTGGGGTGGAGATTCAGGAAGTTGAAGATGCTGATCTTCGAGAGGGAAGATGCACATGAGCGGATGTATCGAGTAAAGCAATACTACGCGATGGATAGGCTAGCAGGGGAGCAAAAACTCATAGTAATAGGATTATGTTTGGAGGGGAAAGCCCTATCATGAATTCGTAGAGGGAGGCTAAATACTCAATCTATTCATGAGAAGAATTTAAGGATTGTTTGTATGAACATTTTTGACCCATTCGGGAAAAAGACCAATATGAGCAATTCTGCCCCTTGAATCAAAGGAAGACTATCATGGAATATAGGGAGAGATTTGAGCTATTGTCGAGACAGCTTGGGAATTTTGAAGCAATTGATGGAGGGGAATTTCATGAATACCTAAAGCCCAACATACGTGCAGCACTCCGACTATTGAGACCGCAGAGATTAAGAGAGATGATGAAGTTAGCCTAGATGGTGGAAGACAAGAGCCAAATGAGAAAGAACAACATGAGCAACACAGATTGAGCGTCGTATTAAACTGCCACAACTACGATGATACCAAAATTTCAAACAATAGGAGTCTAGTGGGAGGTCGTATGGGAAAAGAATAATAGGCCACAATCGGGAGCGATAGTCAAGCGACTTATAGAGACAGAGATTTGGAAGAAGCAAATCAAGTGATTATGTTTTTTCTCTCGGACACTATTGCAAGAACTGAGAATTACAAGTTCTCATAGTGCGTGACGAGAAGGCAGAGGAAGAAGAAATAGAGAAAATTGTGGTGAAAGATGAGCAACACTCACTTTTTCCTATCTCGAAGAAAATGTTTTTTTTTTTTTTTCGGAGGGAATATTGTTGTGTCGATGCCTACCTTAAGAGCAATTTGGTCTTTTGTACGCGGGCAATTTAGTCTTATTATTATTGTTATTGGACATACAATAGATTTATTATGTTTAGAATTACGTTTATGCATGAGATTATTGTGGTGAGTCTAAGGTTGAGTTTTTTAGATATTTCCTACCTCTCGAATTGTATGAATTGGGAGAGATCGTCTACTTCTCAAATTGTAGGTTTATCTTTGTATTTGTGTTGAGTTGTTTGGATTATTAAAGAAAAATATTTGTTTTGCCCTAATTTATGTGAAAATTCATGTCAATTTCTACAACAAAACATATCATCTGCATTCTTCATTAGTCAATCCAAAATCATGATCATCATGAATATTTCTAAAATTTTTTATCTCTACCAACATGTTCATTTAAATCTCATCTAATAATTTGTTTTCTTCAAAGGGTTTCCTTCTATATTAATATTAGGTCATTACAAAAAAAAAATTAAAACATAAATCCAAACATACTTGAGAAGCATAAGCCCTTACAACATTCAAAATATTAATATCAACAATAATATTTAAAGCTTTAAATATCTTCAATTCGATTAATTTTTTACAACATATCTTTCAAACTCTTATTTATAATTACACACACCATTTATAGTACAACTACCTGAATACCAAAGTTTAAAATATAAACTATCAATTTATTTAGTTTTTTTCTCTAACCCATTTAGTTTCTTAAATGCATAAGATATTTATCTTCTTATAAAATATAATATTTCTAATTCTATTAATTTACATGAGTGAGTACCTATATTTCAAGTTCATATCAAAATAATAGTTTCATGTACTTTTTGCATACATCTGTTCATAATATGGACACCCCCTTCAATATTTAACACTACACGTGGGCTCAAGTGCAATGGCCCTTGCACACTTTTACTGTATTAAGGCCATAAAGAGCATCGTTTCTTGGGGACACCCTAATATTGACATAAGAATTCCCACTACAAGCCTCACGAGATGAGAATTCTCATCCCACGCCCATCCCTCTTGAACGGGTATCGTGATCC